ATACCGGTATGGCCTAGCTTCTTTTGGATAAGCCAATATAAGCCATGAAAGTGACACTAAAAATATATAAGCCTTATCAATGAACGTGGTACAGTTGTTTGTCCAACAAGAGTCTGACAAATTACCACCAAGTCTTTCCGCATCATTCTTTTGGGATGGGGGCTCGATGCTGCCCAAATATCTGCTTCCAAGCCGTTTGTTCCTAGCGCTTGTACCCATGTTTCAACTTTGGTGAAGCACTTTTCAAACACTCCTGCAGGGGCCCTGCGCATGGCCCATGTTCATGGTTGGAGGGAGGGTATATATATCACTTGGGTCTATCCTATTCCCAATAACAGTGGATGATGGTTCAGTTTGTAGGCCTTATTCAAAAATAGTGATGTGCTTGTTTACTGACTGTTACAGGTAAGTTCGGACAGACTAGTATAGCCATCGCTATTAGGTTGGAAGCCATCAGTAACATCTAGTATATAACAAGAAGCTAATAGTAGCTATATATACTATATCATCACTGTGGCTTTTTGACGCCATGAGGTTCGGCGGCCACGTCTCCATCGTCTCTGCTCGGCGCCCCGAACGAAGTCTCCCCCGAGGTGTCCACGTCCATACCTGCGGCACCGATGTTTTGTGCATGGAAACGTCGTGTGCGACCAATGAGAAGCTGTTCAATTCAATTCAAAAGAAGGAAACCAAAGAAAACCAAAAACTGTAACTGTAACCCATCATCACCAAGTCCTTTGCTCGAAGTTCATCAGAATTAGGGAAAAACACACACACAAAAACATGAGTTGAGGATCCTAAGAGGATGCGAACCCAAGGATGTTTCCAAAACACATACAAGGATAATACAAGGTGTACATAAGGTGTACATAGGAGTCAAACAAAAAAAGAGCCAGGTCACCACTCCGTGCCCCAATCCGTGCCCACACTGGACACACACACACACACGTTCACCACCATACACAGGCTGCGGCATGACGTTCGACGTTCGACAGCAGGAGAAATGGAGGATGTGCCACCTCTGGACTGGTGCAGAATACCAACCACCAAAAACAGTAAATAGCTTCAACAGCTCTGGTATACGAGTGAAACCGCCTGTGCCCGCTTAGGATGTGGAGGTATAGATTTAAAGCAACATAAAGACGACTATATATGGACGACTTCAAGTTAAACAGCATGAAACAGCTATATATTGCACTGGAACGGTGAGATCCATCTCACATATGTCTGACAATGCCAACCCTTCATGTCCAAGACTCACCTTCCACTGTTCCACCGTTGACACTAAGGTAGCTGGTGTCAACCAAACATAGACCTCAAAAGACGGCTTGTTCAACACCGGTCAAATCACCTTCACAGAACCCCCGTCACCACCGATCCCTCGACCCTTCTCCCTCCACCACCCTTGCGCCACCACGGCTCGCCTTCAAAGAGCTTCAGCACGGCAAACTTCATGGCCTCGGGGGGGCCAGTCGCCGGGACGTGAATGGAAGTGAAGGGAGAGGGGATGGATCATGTAGACGCGTGATGGATATAAACCCACCCCGATTGAATTGAACAACCTCTTCCTATAGGGGGGGTGTTATGAATCAAGAGTCTACATTATGGATGGATGCTACAACAATCCACAAACAGCAAATGTGATGAGAACACAACACATCTCAACACCATCACTGATCACTGTTATGCAGGGTCTATCGTCAATTTGGGGTGTATCTTCAGGTTCAGCATCTTTGGTATGCGAACCTGAAGCTATGCGCCCCAAATATCTCCAAAGCATTTCTTGCCATGACACTAAGTATCAAGTAGCTATAAATGTTTGACATCCCTGATTTGAAGCGTTCTCCAGAGTCTAAAGGTGCTGCTTTTGCTGGAGAAAGATGCAGATACGGATCACATTGTAGAGTTAGAGTTATCCACGGCCCATGTCTGGGAGACTCTATACCTCCACGCAGAAGGTTGAGGAGTTATATAAATCATCCTTCATAATCAGAGTTACCTTATTAACTTATAATATATATGATAAGTTCCAAAGTCTGTCTGCTGCAACAAGTCTGCTGGTCGGGACCAAGAACACTTTAATCTGAAGAGAACCACGTCGACCTGATCCATTGAACATGGATGAACATCGAGTTTCATTCTGATGCCCAACGCCCGCATCCGCAGGTTCCCTACCTGACATCGGCGTGTTGATCAGTGTCGGTCCCACATGTCTTCCACCAGGGTGGAAACCGGAAACCCTCGGAAAGCCAAACCCTCATCGTCGTGCCCAACAAAAACGCCTGACGTCTCTCATGGAAACCATCGGAAACCCTAGGAAACCCAAGCCTCATGGGCCCAACCATGGGCCCAACACTCTCCTTTTCATTGTCCACGGGACCATCTTCCGCTCATCCGCGGAGAAGGCACTGGACTCCAAGCGTGGACAGACCTGCACGGAGAAGGCGGCGCGCAGGAAACACGTCGTCCCTCCGCCGCTTCGGGGAGGAGCTGATTGGGTCTCCGGAAGTGGCGGAAGCACGGAAGTGGCGGTCAGACCTCGCCTAAAATATATGCATTGTCAGACTATTTTGGTCCTGGAACTATAAGTGACGCGGAGAAGAATGATTCCGTATTCCCAGTGTGAGCAGTGTTGCTGTGAGGTGTAGGATTCTGTACCTCAACCCCCACAAGAATTTGTGAGCAAAGCATCATGGCTGTCCCAGTGCTCGGGTTGAGTGGTTTTACCCATGGTTTGTGGGATGTTTTGCTGGCTCCGTAAAACCACATTGAAAAGGACCCCTATTCTGCAAAACCGCACCAGGTGCCGTCTTCTCAGTATCGCTAGACACTCAGGCATCCTCAAGTCCCTCCATGACATGAGGCCTTGGAAAAAATCTTCAAGAACTGTGCGGAGTTGATGTTCCCCCCATGAAGCTCAAACCTCAGCCGAACTGCGAGGCGGTCAAAAATGAACGCATTGAATTTGAGTTGCGTGCGCGATGCCTGCGCGATGCGTGCGCATTTTTCAGGAAGCGGTTCAAACAGCCTGAAACCTGCAAAACAAGTGAAGCAAGGTGATCCTGCACCTGCAGGAACAGTGCGGCAATACGTGCAGGTCACTCAATCCTGTGGTCACTCCCAGTGACCACTGGCCGTTTGGAGACTGCGTCCAGACTCCTCCCCGTTCAAGACTCCTCTCCTCTCCGATCAATGAATGAGAACTTCCTCGAATTCTCACCAAGACTTGGGAATGAAGCTGTCATTCATCCAGATATTCTACTGACTGAAGTCTCACAGATTCAAGCAGAATGGGGAAACCGGGGAGCATGTTCATCCACGTCAATACAAGTCTGTCTAGCACCCCTGTGACAGGAGTTCTGAGACCAAATCTAGCTGACTGTCCACCATCTGAAACCGGAAATCATGAAGTCCTAAATATAACTGAGTAAACAAGTTGCTCATGGCATGTGTCCGGCCACTCCAACGGCAAACCTATATCTCAGCTCCCACAGCTCCTTTGCTGCAGAGGGGCTGTTGCTCAAGCCATTTTAATGACCTGCCAGGCCGAGCATGGCCGAGCATGCCAGGCGTCACAAGTCTCATGTAGAACAGGGAGTTCTAGTATATTGGAATTGGATGGATAGAAGCAAAGTTGTTCATCTGCATAGGGATTATAGGGTATCAGGGGGAGATTCACGCTTCTATGCATCTGTTTCAGCGTCACTATAATAGCAAGCAACTAGGATGCCAAAGCAACTGGGAGTTGTTTTTGCTATCGACTCAGGTCAGGAGCAAAAAAGAACAAAGTCACTTGCCGCTTGTTGTGGAGATATATGATATGGGTGTAAAGTCTCCGAGCAGTCCTCACACGCTCTGTGCGCAGTCCTCCCCGCGTCCGGGTCTGAGTCTCCTCACTGGGAATTTAAGCTCCTCAAAAAGCTTTCGAAGGTCTCTCGCACCAGCTGCCTCATCCGTCAACGACGGCGTGTTTCTTCTTTGTTTGGTGAAACACAACGACTCGGAATAAAGGAAGACAAGGCAGACACCAACACAACACTTTATTTGGTCAAACAAGGAAGACACACAATCGACTCGGACTCGTCCACGGTCCGAATCCGCCTGAGCTTCACATATCTCTGCTGGGCCTCCTGAGGGTCCTCCGGAAGCTCTAAGCCTAGCGGAGAGGGGATCGAGCGGGTCGGTTGGTTTCAGGTCAACTGGCGCAGGCAAAGCTCGAGGTGCTCGGTTCGGAAACAGGTGTTTTGATGTGTTCTGGAGGCGGGGGTGGCATGTGGGCATGTGATGGACGATTTGTTAACACCCACAGATGTGGGGAGGTTTGAAAAACCTCCCACCAGATCCTGACATGGGTCAAAAGTACACACCCCGGCAGCTCTTTGCATGGGCAGAGCCCTTGGGTGGCGATGGACGTGTTGCGCGTTGGGTCGGTCGGCGGTTCCGAGAGGCCCAGGCTTTGGCCGGTTCGGCCTATGACACTGACCGGAACACTGGCGGAGAGCAGGTGACCAATTCACTGACTCCTGGGGCTCGGCACACATCCTATAAATGATCAGTATAGCTTCGTGACAGTGGTCTGTTTTCTGTACTTTTGTATACTCCCTGCTGATCCTTGTAGGCCTCTTCTCTCCAAAATATTCAATTTTACAAAGTGACTACCTGGAAAACCTGGTGTACCTTTTAAATAGTACACTGCTCCAAGTGCACGGTTTTCTGTATTTCCTAACTTGGCTACTGATGCACAAACACTTTGCACATAGCCCAATCCAAAGAAGTGTATACCAAAGAGGCCAACATCACTGGGACAACTTGCATGCGTCATCAACCACCACCAAAATATGAACACAACAACTCCGCCAATAGCAACATTTGTTCATGTTGCCATTCATGTGGGAAGACCTCTCATGTGCCCTCCTTGGGTGTCACCTCAACAAACCTGAATCGCACCCTGCATGTCAATGTCTTTTCTGACTGCGCTTGCCAAAGTGTCCGTGGTGGGCCTACCAATGAGTGAACAACGCAACCCGGTAGCGGTTCAGCGTCCTCTCATGAACCGTTCTGCTGCTAACGACCTGAGACCTGGAGCAGATTTGCCCGACCAAATCCTCGTCCATTTGCGTGCTGAAGGTAAGAGGCGACAAGGAAGTAATTCCGGCACGCTTCTGAACTTCCAGTTCAAAAACAAGCTCAGCAAACATATGATACTTTGGCTGCAACTTCCACCTGCACATATCGAAAGAGTACGCAAGACGCGCGCACGTCATGAACTCAGCCATGAAAGCCCGCCCAGATTGAATTAGGATGTCACGCTCACGATCGTCCAGCCAAAGCGCTCCATGGTATACAGTTCTCATGAACAAGTTGGCATTCTGAAGCAGGCCAGCCATGGACACAAAATATTCACGCACTTTGTCTTCCAGTGCTGGAATCTCTCCAGCAAGCCTTTGTTCCAAGTAAGCAAGGATCGACACTGTGTCTGCTCCTTTGAACCAGTTCCTGAGTCCAAACCACTGTCTCAGGGAAGATGACCAAATGAATGAAACCATAAACACATGGTTGGACAATTTTAATGTAGAAACATTCAAGGAACCCTGCAGGAAATGCACTGGAATTCGCATAGCCCACGATAGTCCGCGTGAGGCTTTGCAAATGCAACTGCAGCGACTCAGCGCGACAGAATGCCTTCAGATCGCTGTAGATAAGCTCAAGGCACTTCTCAACACTCTCATTTTCGTAGACAAAGTCGACCAAGGCCAACTCAGTCAACGGCTATAAGATCACTTTTCTTGAAAAACTATTAACCAAACAGCACACCAACGAACATCCAAAAACGTTGCCCTGTTTGCAGCGAAGATGCGACTGCATTCGCCCCTGCATCGGCCATGACCCCCTTATGGCATGTGTGAAACAAGTCAATGCGAAAAAACAGATGCTCGTAGGCGTCCCCAAGAGCCAGATTGCTCACAATGCCTGGCTCACGCTGCCATGGCATCGGTAACTCAGAGCGCATCTTGGTCATGTTGCCGAAGGAAACATCATGCCAAGCATTTGAAGGCATACCACCTTTACACAAGTGACAAATACCATGTCCACCCTCTTTCGTCGGGGTATCACGAAGATGATGGCGATTTAGCTGCCCGATCTTCACAAGCGCCGGCCAATCGCCTTTGAATGCGATGGGGACAAGCCAGATCCTCTGAAGGGCTCCCTCAAAGTGCACATCCAACCCTTGCTCAAAGAGCATGCGAAGTTCAGTGGCAAGATGGTCCACAAGCCGTAGAAGCGGCTTGGGGTTGGCCTCCTTCTTGCCCTTCTTCCCACTGTAGACATGCGCCATCATGACACTGTAAACCAATCGGGTGCAAAGTGATTTGCCAACAAAATTGACACCAGGCGAATCTTGATCAGCTTTACGCTTCCTTGTCCCATGCCCCATGCACACTTGGGTCTGTAGAACCAGCATCCCTCGTTTCTTTTGAGAGGTACCTTCATCTGCATGTATGCAAATAGGCACACATCGTCCTAAGTGTGACCCATGCAGCTCGAATACAGGATGCATTGGTTGTTGACCACGCCACTTGCTCCAAAAGTCATGGTACTGTTTTGAGGTGTTGCCCATGAAGAACCAAGAATTCATTTTGCCATTCCTGTCCAGGCACTGGATGGTATCACTCAATCTCAGAGTGGGGTGGGAGCAAGTCAATCCCACGTCAACATCAGTAATTGGGATGTCAGCGGTTAGGTTGAATGCCTGAAACTTGTTCGACATCTCACACTCATGACCCGTCTGCGAAAGACGGGAAGCCATTTGCAAAAACCTTGCGCTTGGTAATCGTGCAGAATCAGTTGAAGATTTGCTCACCTCTTCCCAGAAGGCTGCAGCAATGGTGCAAGCATGTTTTTCACTTACCTCGGAAACTCTTCCCACGCCAAACTCATTTTTTGCAGGATATCTATATACATATATAGCACATGTAGAAACAATAATGAACAATCACCATAAAGCAGGTCGATCCTTGAAAAAGACACTCCAGAAGCTATGGCAGATGCAATCGCTTTTGCTGCTGGGCCAGTGGAAGTTGGAAGCCGCGCTGCGAAGTGGCTCGGTTCGGGTTTGGCGCCTGCGCAGGGTAAAGATTGGGAGCCAGCAGTCGTTGGTTGGCTGGTGACCACGGTGACCACGGTCCTACAGGTTGCCGGCTGCCATTTTGCACCCCATCGCAACACTTCACAACCACTGTGGGTTGCCAGAAATCACAATGATGAACATCGCATCACTTGAGTATACCCAAAACGGCCCATAATGGAAGTGTGGCTTGAAGATATCATAAGATAGCGCTGAACAAAGCGCATGTGCATGAGTGTATGTGTGGTTTTTGAAACAGATGTCTTGGACTGGACTGTGGAGCGACTTACACCTTACAACCACCTCCCTGGGCCCTGCTACAGCCTTCAAACATCACACGTATGTGACAACGACACGTGTGAATTTCTATAGTGCAAAGACTGCTGTTATATAGCCATGGGGATTCAGGTTGCACTCACTTCAAAGGCAACCGTCGAGGCCATCCAAATTATGACCCAGGTCACGAATGTCTTGGAAACAGAATGCCTTTCTACAACTTCCATGCAGCCTTTACGAGTGCACTCTAGGGCCCACAACAACACATGACTCCGGGCTTACTTGCGAGCTCGTTTGGGTTTCGACTTCGTCGAATCGGCTTCCAGAGCTTCTTGATCCCGCTTTGCCCTCTTTCGAGGCTCAGCGCTAGCTTTGGCGGCAGCCTTTGCCGCTTTGTTTTTCGCCGACGCTGCCTTCTCCTTCGGGACAGGCTTGGTGCGAAGCAGGGTCCTGCAGACGGTAGAAATCAAAAAGCAAAAATACGATTCGAAAGATTCCAGAAGCAATCACACTCACGATCATACGCAGTAAATTGTCAAGAGAGTATTAAGCACGATACTTTCTCAGTTTGACCTCTTCCATCAAAGCTCGGGAAGACCTTCGCAATATTTTGGGATCTGGTAATGTTCATGCGATGGTATGCGTTCATAAATGCAAAGGTCAAGTGAGGGCCAGGCTCCATCTCAATGCTTCCCACGAGCGTCTTGAGCGCATCAATTTTCCTAACATTTGCAGGACCACATGTTTGAGGGTGACACAGCCCACTACTTTTGTAAAATTCAAACCCTGATCTCTGAAGCTAAGTTTCTCCTTGGCGGGGTCAAGACAACACACACTCTGGGCATCAAAATAAGATTTGAGATCAGCCAATTCGTCATGGAGTGAGACCAGCTTCGATTTGAAGCCAGCAATCTTCTCACCACTCCTTATCTGACAGCTTGGTTGCTTGGACTGGTGGGGCGGGCCAAAATGAACTATCCGCAACACACATTATACAGGTAAGGTTCTGCTTCGCTTCAGGAGTATTCAAGTTGTTCAGCTTCTCCAAAAGTGTCTCCATTTTGGATTGGGTCTTCAACAGGTTGCCCATAACGGTACTCACGTTATCCACCGCCTCACATGTATTAGAGCGATCGAGTTGGAATGGGTTGGAGTATACTCAATGAAACTGCATATAAACATTCCCAAGCCATGTATGCTACTGCCTCAAGCGCGCTTTCTAATTCCAAAGGTTTGCCGCCGGGGCCCACGGTGGTCCTAGCATCATCCTGATCCTCATCCTCTAACCCATTCTCATCTTCCTCCTCCTCTTCAGGCACACCGGGTGGCATCACTGGCTGAATGCCAAGATCAAAGGTGGCCGCTTGGCCCTCGACGCAAGTCCGATCTGTCAGGCTCTCTTCATGCTCGTTATCGAAGCTCCCAGTGGTCTCAACATCAACCCAATACTCTTTCACGTTACTCTCGTACTTGTCCCGCCTGCCAAGGGATGCCACTCATAGTTTTAACTCCACAAATATTGAAAGCAAACAATGCTTATAGACCAACACTGTTTGTGCATCAAGCAACCCACGAGAACGCTGTAAAACAAAATACTATATATATATATAACTGCGTTTGGAACAACAAACCCCTCCTGACATGGGTTTTGACCCGCGATGGGTGGGTACAGTATTGCACTGCCTTTGCAATTCGTGTCCTCAGAAACCATGAGCTTCCCCAAAAAGGATTCTCATGAGGGACCATGCATGACCATGCATATATATATATATATGTGAAAGGATTACACTGAGGTTCTGACGCACTCCATCCAAGTTTTTTCTTCATGTTTTCCTTGGTGTAGAACCCCGAGTCTACATGGATCTTGGTTTTGCGGCTCCGACGCTGCATATGCTCGATGTGTTTCTTGAACGCCTCCTGCATGCATCGCAAAAAAGTTAAGACCAACAACCCATCGTTCAAAGTTGTTCACATGCACACTGACCCAAAAGAGCGTGACCAAGCCCGATCCTTATCCCCATTGACACTGGCCAACACATCCAATAGAGCCTTCCGCTGTGATCCCCCTGCTAGCCACTTCTTGTAGATGTCCTGACTCACCTCAAGCTTACCCGAACCCCTTTTGGGAGTGCAGACCCGCCGAAGAGCAGATTCCAACTTGCGGCTCTTCTTCTCCGACGAGGGGTCGTCATCGTGAGCATTCTCCTGATGCAAAACATGCCGACATACATGCTGTCAAGCATCCGCTATAGACCTTTGCAGGCACATGTGTTTTGTCAGTTCATAGCAGCCAGGATTGCGTTTTGTATACAATAGACTCAATGCCCCACTCGAATCGAAATAACAGAGCCTCCGCTTCAGCACGTGGTTCTCCACCAGTGACCTGACAAACATGCAGAGCCACAAAACCTCCAAGTGTTTCAAAATGCTTGAATTAAGGTGTGTATACATGGTCAACTCCACCCCTTAAGAAGAGTATATATACTCATTGATGATGGGATGTGATGTCAGTGGGTTCACCTTCAAGTGCATTCCCAGCCTCCTCCGTTGTAGTCTTGACAGCCGCCTCAGACTCCACGTTGCCCGGGTCCTGCCAGAGTCCGACAAGATGCAAAGAGAGCACAAATTTGAACATGCAGTAAGGCCCCCATCAGCCAGATCACGCGCCGCGCGCGCGCGCCGATACTAGTAGTTATGAAGCCTGAAAATGGCGCGCGCGCGGCGCGTCTAGCCAATAAGTCTTTTTGAATATATGTTTGATGACATCCTATACCAACAAAGAGATCCAACGAGCTATAGGCGGTCCTTGGGAGTCAGAACCTCAACTGTCTCGGGAATCTCATCGCCACTCTGCCGGACAGAAGGCGTACCTGATCCAACCTTGGACGGACCTGCTTCAGGGGCAGAGGGATGGTCATAGCGAACTGTGTCCTGAGTCTGAAAGTTGGGCAGTTCGCCCTTTCCCTTTCCTTCACCCTCGGGTGTAAACAAAGCTCGCTTTGCCTGCGGCGTAGTTGAGGTGCTGGCATTTTGCATTGCCTTCAGCTCGCCTTTTGCAGCCTTTGTCTCAGAGACCCCAGGCGGTGTGGGACAGACACTTAAACTGCGGACACCGCCAACATTTCAACTCCGGACTAAATCATGCAACTTGGGAACATGGATCAGGTCATCAAAGCTGAGGCTCTGATTGCGAGTATGTTGCTCCAAAAGGTATGAGTTCCCACGAAGCAGCGTGCTCGCAGACCATTGGCGGGAAAGCAACGTTTTGGGGGAACCTTCGGTGGCCATGGTGGCTGTGCTCACAGCTATCACTGCAAACCAAAAAGCCTGAACACCAGGAAGTGAAAGATGTCAAGGGGTTGCGATGGAACAACATGAAATGACATCACTGTGCAAATCCATACAAATCCCGATCATGGACACTCTTCATTTTCCTGGCACGAGCTTATGATGATATTGCACCACGCAGCTCTTGATGGGATCATGTGGGGTTGGGAGCCAACCACTTGGCAAGCTTCTCGGAGCCATTCAGGATCGTAAAATCCCGATCCTGGAAAACCTATAAAAGTGTACCATTATAGGGATACATTCGCTACGGAAATTTCCGCCACTAGTTCGCCTACAACAGTATCCTTTCCCCGTTTCCTGTCACAGTGTACCATTTTTGGTGGAATTGTTAAAATACGACTTTGTTTCGCCTAAGTGGTGATTTGGCCCATGGCTTGCATACATGATCTATCTAATTAGCGTACAGGTGGCCAAAGATTTGATTTAAATCTTTGATGGGAACCAGCCACGCCAGTCGTCGGGCAATTGGACGCCCGTCCCCCCATACAGGTAGTGAAGAACATCAGACATCCGTGCATCCCTCCACAAGTCGTCCATCGAGTCGAGGCATGGCAAGACATCATTTGGCTTGATCTCGTCGATGGTGGGCACCTTGGCCGGCCAAGCGTTTTGCGAGGGCAGGATTGAATCTGTGTGAAATGGTTTGGATGGGAAAGGTGATCGAATCTCTTTTGCGTTGGGAAAGCAAGCTATGGTTAATGAGATGTCATGCCAGCAAAGACATCCCTGAGGTTCGTGAGACGAAGATGAATACAATATAGTATCTATCAAAAAACACCTTCTCATTGTTTACCAATTTACCTTGTCCTCTGCAATGGTGTTGGGCTTGGACTTCTCTTTCTGAAGCAGCGGCATTGTTCGAGTGAAGCGAATACCAAAGCCCACAGGATAAACCCTGAAAGAGCGTCGGTCAGTCCACATGTCAACTGAAGCATTCAATACTTGAACAGTGCTTTCTTTGTTTTGGTATTCAACACTGAGTCCCACACTGTGATCCCTTCAGCCGAGAATTGCCCTGATACCTCTTCTTTCCATTGGAATCAATGTAGACTGTAGCCAACTGGTTCTTCTTTTTCCCCTTGGCATACTTTTTGTGGGTTGCAAACTTCCTCACCCCACGGGAGTTGCTCCACAGAATCGTCCTCTTAGGAGTATTACTACCCCAGCCACGCATCCAGAAGGCTTGCCGCCAAACCTGAGATCCAGCAGAGGAAATGTGGGGTTTCGCCATGCATTACACTCCACATATATATATATATTTATACACAATATTGTGTGCGCACCACCGTTCTTCATGGTATTATTCCACCGAGGTGCATTTGTCATTTTCAAAAGTTGCTGGAATCTGGGATGGCGATAGGCAAGGGAACTTGATGGCTGTTCTAAGACAAACACCATGCCACGAGATATCATGAGTATCATAGCCAGAACCATCCTGCAGGGGGTTCAACGAGGTGCAAGTTACGACATCTACGACCAATAAGAATAACAATTTAAACATATATACTATAGTGTCGTGTGTCTTGGAACCATGCACTCCTGCTGCAGAGTATATTGCCTAGCTGTACCGACTTTGAAGTGGGGTCTCCCAAAGGGAGAAAGAAGGAGCGGTGAGTGGTGCCACGGGAGACCGCCACAAAACTCGAACAGACAAGGCCGAATGTGAAGACTGCTGAAGGCTTGGACCTCAATATCGTGGATAGGAGAAGCCTGGGCGGAACAACACAGGGATGATGTTTCCATGTGTAGGTTTTGGGTTGGACTCATCAAGGGAACACATTTCAATTCATTCGTTGTTTAACAGATACAACTGCGCAAAAGGGCAATCAAGTTCATGAAATGAATGAAAGGAACCCAAAGCCGGCTGGAGATGTCAAGTCCAATGCATTCCCCTTGCAAAGCTTGCGCCTACCCATTCTAGTTCTTTCTGCCAACCACGGCGTGAAGTGAAGAATATCCAAGGATGCTGTGGCATAGCCTCCAGCTAGCAGGCATCGGCTGAGGACACCCTTCCCCGCAAAGATCTCAGCAGCATCATAGATCTGCGCATGTCACATGGGAAGATATGGGAAGTGCATGCATGCTTTAAATCACGAATGGGTGACTTTGATTCGGTGGCGCCTCATCCCATTGAAGACCCTCTGTGAAAGCCAGAAGGACCACTGCCATCATCAGGACCTCAACGGAGTAGTACGGAGTAGCCTACAGATTCCTCGCGTTGGGGCCCTAACCTCGAACATTGTTTAGTTGAAATGAACTTGGGGAACTCTCAAGTGTGGGCTGGTAGATGGTCCTGCCAAGGCACTCGGGGGGCGTTCACGAGCAAAAGCTGGCGAAGGAGAAGCATCAGGCGTTCGTGAGGCATCGCCATGACCAGCGCTCGATTTCTACTAATGTAGGTCTTGTTACAACAAGATGCGTGTCGTGTACACCAAGTACGTCCATATGTTCATATTGCTTACTGTTCAAAACCCACAGAGTGCACTCAAGTGAGAAAAATGTTGCACAAAGAAAGGGACTGAAGATCAGCATTCTCAAATCACAGACTTGCTAAAATGACTCGAGATCAAACCCTTCTTTAGATCAGAAAGCCGGCAGCAGAGTTGCACCTTCACGTTGGCGGTTGGAGGTCGAGCGTCGGAATCTGGCCAATTTGCTCATTCGAAACGTAGTCGCCTGGCATGTGAACAACTGCGGGTTCAAAGTATATGCTTTTTCTATGTATACCATATATAGATATATCTGTATACATTGTGTACATATACATATGCAATCACCATATGTATGTACATATACTATTCTACTGCTGCCCTTTGAATACATAGAATCTATAATTACAATAAACATATATATATATATGTTGTATGCATGTATACCACGTGCTGTTGCGGAGACGACAGGTTTGCAAAAGCATTCATTTCTGCGATGATCAACCCTTTCCATTGAAACACTTGCGGTGAAAACCACATGTCCAAGTCAGAGCCCATTTGCTAAGCGCACATCCTGTTGATTTTTGCGGTTGACCCAGATGCGACGGTGTGTGTATATATGTTGACCCTTCCTTTGCAAAGTTCTACTCTATGGATGTGGTGTGCTTGGGCTTCGACAACCCCAACAAATCCACATATATATAGCCGTATAGCAAGGTTCTTCCCTGCTATAGGCACCCAAAACCCACAATTCAAAATCCTCTCCACTCAGAAGCAGCCGAAGTGAGTGCTCCATGCAGGACTTGATGAAATGATCCGCAAGAGTGGGCATACCTTGGGAAGGACCGGCATGAAGCACACCGCATGTACTTATAGACTTGTAAAAGAACACGACTTTCACTGTGCTTGAATGTTTTGCGAAGTGACAACAGGCATTCCAAAACAGGTTGAGAGGCCGTCAAAAAAGGATAAGCATGTTTGTTTGGGTGTCCTTTTGCCCTTGAGGTTTGCGGTTTCTTGTTGCTCCTGCATCATAGTTACAATTACATAGTTCGAAACAAGTAGAAAAAAGAGACACACACTCAAACATATATTCTAAAATTTGGTTGATTTGAGAAAGGTTTCCTGGCCACCCACTTGTTGCGCTTGGTCCAGCCATCACACTGCATGCTTTGAGTTTTTGCGGGGTCGCTTTGCTCGCGTCTGCTTTTCTGCAGTCTTGGTACGTTTGGAAGGCCCTTTTTTGGTGGGCTCTTCCGCAGGTGTGCTGCCATGTGCTTCTGGTGCAGGCAGTGCTTGCTGCTGGCTGTAGTAGTATTCCGCATTCCTACCACGGAAGCTGGAACGGCGGCAATTGCTGCAGCCATTGTATATGCAACGGCAATTTGCACAGCCCAAGACTTGCCCAGGCAAAACTCGATACATCCATGACCTGCCCATCTTAATCCGATCTTGGGCTGGGTGTTCAGAGTTATCCGGCTTGCTTGCCCCATCAACCTTGTTGGATGCGGCGGTTGATGATGTCTTGCGCTTTCTACGTGGTTCTGCGGACTTGGCTTTGGATCTGGTATTGGCAGCCTTTCCCTTGGCTCGCTTCCGGGCTGCCGGGTCAGGAACAAAAGTGGGCTCGTCAGTCGATGCACTGGCTTGCTCTACCAAACCCTCGCGGCTCTTACTTTTCTTCAAGATATTGCGCTTTGAGCGCCTCTTGGTGACACGGCCACCTGCACCTGGTGAAGTGTTCTTTTTGCCGGACTTTCCTTTCCCAGGTTTTCGTCCCTTTTTCATGTTACTCTTTTTCGTGGTGCGCATTGCAGACTGCATCATGGGGGTGATTTCCGGTTCTGATTCCTTGGCCTCACCCTTGGCCTCAGCATCGACCCCTGAGCCTTTGCCAGAAGCCGGCTCTACAGTGTTGTTCTGGATCTCGTTGCCCTTGACCTCAACCTCGGCCGGCAAGTTGGCAACCTGCTCAGGTTCCACCTGACGGCGGGGCAAGAATCGATAACCTGACCAATCTTGGTTGACAAATCGCAGAATTCTTAAGACACGATCCCAGCAAACAAATTTTGGCCTTCGGCGGTGTCTCACAAGGTGGTGGATGATGGGCCGCAGGGGGAGTAACGATCTGACCGAAGTCCATTGGCTGGGTCTCAGCCTACAAATGGATCTGTGCATAGGAACTTTCCAGACAAATAGCGAATAATAAGACGATAGAAAACTATAAACAGGATATACGGGCATGGCCCAGCCTCGGAAATGTCGCGCAAAGCAGGACATGGAACAGGTCGACCCTGGCCACCTCAAACCAGCAAAGTAGCTGTCAGAACTGAATGAGAGTGAAAAATCGGCCCAACATGGCTGCGATATACCTTTTCAACAACGGTTTGCGCGCCTTTGGCCAAATCATTCTCCACAGACCTTGGGGATGAGTACTGCGGCAGCAATATTTCGATACTATGTCAAGAGCATGTTTACAAGAGTACCTGGGCGCAGAACTCACGAGAACGACTGGCCAGCCGCATCATGTGAAGTTGATGCAAGACACTGTCCAGTTCCTTCTGCTGCTCCGCAGTCATTGGAACGCTGCATGCCTCGCCCAACACATCAAGTTGCAGTTGACTTTCACCGGGAGAGCCCACCATGGTTGGCTCGTCAGAAGCCTTTGGTGTCACTTCTGAAGCCAAACTTGAAGCTGACCGCTTCTCTCTGTACTGTGGCACATTCCCTGACTTGAGAGTCGGGTCAGGTGATGGAGCAGGTGAAGCAGCCTCAAAGCAATCAGACTCCAACCTGCTAGGAGTCTTGGAAGGATCAAATGCATGCTGAACATCTTCAATGGCCCACTTGGCCCATTGAGTTCGTAGATCCCGGATCTTCTCGAACAACGCCTTGACCTTTTTGTCCTGCAACAACTGATGGAAACACACATGCATGTACCAGGTGGGGAGGGAACATGTAAAGAAAAGCGAACATGCTGGCAACAAAAAACAGCTATATCTTTGACCGCTGCAGTCCCGGGGTCGCTGGTTTCTCTTGGCAGCGTCGTTTTGTCGACGAAATGCAAAGGTATAGAGCTGGCGCAGGTCCCAGGCTGCTATGTAGACTTCGCGTGCTCCAGGCTCATAGTTAACGTCTTCAAACAGTTTCTTCACCTGCATGCATTCTGTGGATGAAATACATGCATGGGTGATGGGTCATATACACATGGACAGCTATAGTAAGCACACCTCAACTCTTTCCTTACTCCCTCAACTCTAGTGGACACTGAAACAAAGACTTCGGCCTCAGGTTTGAGGTCATCAATGCTGATGAACTGGCCATCTAGCTCGTCAACCATCACAGTCAGAACATCAACATTCAACTCCAAAGCTTGTGTGCAAACCGGGTGAGCTGGTTCGATCTCCTCCTCCTGGGTTTCTGCTGGCGCAGATGTAGATGGCCACTGCAAAAAGAACTTTTGCTTCATAGGCCTGTGGCGAATGACCCTGTTGTTTTCCCATGCTGCTGCTAGCTGGCCGGCTGCTGCCATTGCCAGTCCAACCCTCAGACTAGTTCGAGTTCAGCGCACACCGCAGAGCCTTTAATAGTTGCATGGTGATGCACAGGTGTTCGCTGCTTCATATGTATATGGCAAAGAAACATGTTAATCCAACATGCCCAAACATGAGCATGGATCAAACATTGCCCGTGGCAGGATTGGCGATTCATTGAGAAGAACATGCCAGCCGTACTGGGCATTGAGAGTGAGGAAATACTTGCTTCCTCCATCCTGCATGCTCAAGAGGTCGATTGAACAAAAATGACGGAACTGTTCTATACTTACCTTCACAGAGACAACCCCTCTTGTCGAAAACGCTACTGTCCCAGTCCTCATCGATCTCTCAGCCGCAGGGTCCGTCGTGCTTCCATGGGCATACAGGATATGGATACAAAGTTGTCATACAAAGTGCAAGCAACTTTCCTACATGGTCTACAGGTTCGTCGTTGGCACCTGTCAACGTGACTTGTTTTGCTTCAGTTTATCTATTGTAGGATGCCACATGCCCTTTGAGCCTTGCTCATGCTGAAGAAAACAGACCTTCAGAGGTGCCTGGGCACGCGGGGAACCTGAAGGCAGCGATGGGAAGTGTCAATATTAGAAAGTGTACGATTTTTGTTGGGTATCTGAGAAAGTGAAGCCAGAAACATGCAACTATTCAAAGTTTACCTTTTAAACAGGCAACTTTCGCGATCCAGGTAGGGCCGATAAACGAAGCTCGGAGCCCCTCACCACTCTCAATGCCAGGGTCCCAAACGCGGTAGCGGCTTGGACATGCCTGAGAGTCTCAGCTGGGGCCAGGTGGTGGACCCCGTAATAGACCCGCCCACTTGGAACCCCACCCCACTAGATGATTCACTTTTAAGGGGTGGGTCTACCCGTAATACCCCATTGGACGTTGTAGCAAAATCACGAAGATGGTAGGGCTCCCTCCAACTTGAAAGCTCCGGCATGTCTCAAAGATGTTTGGTCTCTCTTCACCTCGACTTAGGCCACTCAGCTGCCAAAATACCAGGAATCACTCCACTCACCATCTCAGAGTTCAACATGACTCAGGAATCAACACCACGCAGTGAGAGAGCTCTGACGCGCTCTTACGCTGAGACTCCGACCGTGAACCGCCGCAGGTTCGCAGCGAGTCTCATGGCCCTTTGGCCAGTTACAGTAAGTCTTTTTGAAGTTGCAGTGAAACCCTGGTGGTTGTTCGTTGGTTGTTTTGATCTGAGTGGTACTTGAAAGTTGGTTGGTTGGTAAAATTGGTAAAATGTTCAACAAGGCATCTGAAAAAATACACTCATAGCAACCATCAGCCTAGATTCTAGATCTTGAAAAAGGCTTGATCATATCACTGTGAGAGTCAATCTTGTTTCTTCTTGATTGATCTTGGGACAAACCTTCAGAGCTGGGTCTCCTGGTCGTCAAGACAAGATTAAAACACCTCTACCCGAAATCTGGCGCTTCGCGCTCTCGAACCAGGTCAGGGCAAGGACCGTCAAGCGGCCAAAAGAGTCTTTTATGACTGGTGACACCGGACTCTGGCTGCAACTTGGTCTACAGTATGGGGACATGATAACACTATGAAATCTGATAAGCAGTACAGCATTGACTGGGATTGTGTCGAAGGTGTCCTTGGCACTCAGCAAATCGACTGGCATGGGCTCTGTTGGGGCAACTTGTTGTGTAGATTTCACGTAGCTCATGCCCGACACGACTGGGGTTGAGATTGTCTACTGATCAACCGGTCAAGCCGGTCATGCTCCTCACACAAATCACGAGAAAAAGCACCACCTGAAATATATCCTGAAAATATCCCGAAATATACCGTTTGTACCATGTTTTACCTAGCATTCGAGGCACAAGGGGTCAGGCCACTGCTGGACTTGGGTTTTACCCCTGCAAAATGAGCTCAAATGGATGAACTACCATGCAGGTCATCCTCCCACGGTTGGGCTCTCTTACAGTATCAGTATGACTTAAACAATGTCCAACATCTCAGAACAAGAAAATCATCAAAACATCCATGTTAAACGCTGTTCTTTCACCTCAAAACCTCAGGAACGCGTCCCACATATCGATCTCCCACGTCTCTGGAGCCGACCACCGGAGCCCACGGAGCCATCTCCGGACGTCCGACACCAGAGACGTCCTCCAGCAGTGACAAGGCCTGGCAGGTGTCGCACGCGCGACACGACGTGTGGCGTCTAGGACCTTCAGTCGGTCAAAAAAACGGTCAGAACAGGCATATTTTCTGCGGTCCAAGTCCTCTGGAGACTGTAGGGAGACTGGTTTGAGCGCAACGGCACAAATTCTATATATACGCAGGTCACCGGGTATGGCAACTATGTGCAGCTATGTCCATGCAGGGCGCCCTGGTGTGACGACCTTGAGCCTGTTACAGTATATAGACCTGCAGCATACTTACCCTCGGGCTCCGCTCCAACTACCTCCGAAGATGGTAAGTTATGGTAATATATGTTTGGGGGGGTCTAACCACTTTCTGAGGATGGTGTTTAAAGGTATAGATCCTGGGCCGCAGGCCATCTAACACATCCATCCCACACGCTGCAAAGGCTACCACGCACGCCTGGCCCTGCATGCCGCCCTTCAAACACGCGCTCATGGCGGTGTTGAAGGTCACGATGTCAGGCCGGGTCTGTCGCTGTTTCAAAGGTGACGAAGCCCGACGGCCAACCCCGACGTGGGGGGGGCAGCGTGATGTCGCATGAGTCAAACCTGGCTTTCAATCGAAAGTGGGATGAAGGGCAAAGCCAGGCAGTGAACTTGGCGTGATGAGGGGGATTGGAGCTGAACGATATGGGAAGTCTTAGTGGAGACCAGGACCGGTTTCTAGAGTAGTTGCAGGGATGTGTGGTCTTTTTTTGGTGGACTTTCGACTTGTTGGATCAATCTGCACCACTTTGTGGGTCAATGAGTGTTCTGATATCTTCTGGTGGCATTGAAATGGATCATCACCTCAACATGTTCAGACCTGATGCGATAACTTGTTCAATATCTACTATATATCATTGCGTGTCCATGTGGCTCTAACTGCACGAAACAGGCAACAACGGATGGACTGACACCATGTTCTTCGCGCCCGTCCCTGAACTAGACGGACGCCTGGAAAGCCACGAAATGATGGGAGTTTCATGGCTAGCCATATACATTGCTACGGCAGTCTCGGTGTCTTCGGTACGGCAGACACCGACTGGTACGACACACCGGAGCTGGTACGGCAGACACCCGATGTGAGAACCGATTCGATGGGCGCCCAGGTCTGCGCCAGGTCTGCTGTGGGCCTTGGTCTCCACCATGTCATCCAGCAGCCTTGGGAGATCGCAGGATCGGAGAGCGTGCCAGAGGGAAGGAAGCAAAACGTAATCAGTTGGTGAAGCTGTGAGGATCTGTGAGGTGTGTCAGCAACTCCAGGTGTAGCAGATTTTACAATACCTGGAGCCCCAAAAACACATGCTCACTCGCATCCTCCAAGGCTTTCTGTTGTGCAACAGACCATTCACCGCGACTCTGTGGACTGCGTGGATTCACAGACATGCACGTGCTTTTACAGCAGCACAGATATCATTCACCGAGGATGAAGGTTCATCCAATCGTCGAAGGGGTCCTCCGTTCAGGTCGACGGCCCATCTTGCCTGCAATATCTGCTGAAGGCTGACAACACACATCACACATGCGAATGGTGTCTAATATGATTAAATTTCCCACATTGCCAAGAAAATACCATCACTGTTCTCGCAAAAGAGTGGAATCTGATTCGACAATATGGTCCAACAAGAGGTCCTCAGTCGTGAGAAGGTGGTCTACTGCCTGGACCACGTCGTGACCATCGTCTCTCGTCTACCTCCCAGGTCCCGTGTCTGACAAACGGAACCGACAGGGCCGGTTCTGAAGCAGCGCAGCCAGGCGGCTGCAAGGTCTCCTCAGCCCGGAAGGCCTTCTCACACCTGGAAGGGCGCCCAATGGATCTGAAAAAGGCACAGCTGTTGACTGCTTTGCTTCAAGGTCTCGAGGTCGAGGGGATTCTTTCACCAGGGCTCAAAGCTTAACTCACCAGTTCAGGTACCTAAAATATAGAAGGGGGCGGTTTGCCAATGCACGTCCATCCCCACTCTTGATCCCTTCTCTTCCAAGGCGCGCGTTCAAGGCGCTGTTGTAGGTGCGGGTCTGGGGCCTTAAGCCCTGGGACTTCATCCTCTCAAGGAGCTTGAAGGCGCTCTCGTACCTTGGGACAAGGAGGAATGGCTTCTGCCACGGCAGGGTGTGGAATGACCCAAGTGGGGATCTTGGAACGGCCGGTAGAATATCATTAGGCCATGCATATCGTGGCACTGCAACTATAACAGCCAAAGGGACCACGCACCTTCTTTAGACTCCGGTGATTACTCAAAAAACAATCGATCATCTTAAAACTTCACTTCACCCTCCAAGCAGTGTCAAAATGCACCATCCAAGGCACTCTCCGTTCTGCGCACACGCATTGATGGCGGCATTGTAGCTGACAATGTCTGGCACAAGAAGCCGCTCCGACATGCCATCCAAGAGCTGCAGGGCACGGCTTGACTGGCCTGCCTGAAACGAGATGGAGGTCAACGCAGGAATGTGCGGTCCTTGGCTGTACAAAGGGGCTTTATCACTTAGGATTATGTTCTTTCAGGTTGTTTACAGTAGCAGGTTCTGCACATGAATGCACTTGTTGACATGGATATTGTGGGCAGTTGGACGGTCAACTGTTGCTGGTCATGATCCGGATATACTCAGACCATAAAGCCTGGCAATCATCTTTATGTTCTGTCAGTGGAGACCCGCCCGGAATGGTGTGAGCTCAGCGGATTTCCCACACCGACACAGCCGGCACCAGTGGAATTAGTGCCATCTCTGAACCCCAGGAAAGGGAAATCGTCCAACTTCCAACACACCAGCCAGATAGGACCTCTTCAAAAGAAATCCTTCCTTGATCTCTCACTTGCAGTTCTTTTCAGTCGCTCGGGTTCCGCAGAAGCACCACGCCCACCTGAGCACAGGCGTTGATGGCGGCATTGAAGATCCGCACGTCAGCCTTGATCCCTGCACGCTCCATCCTTGGCACAACAGAAGTTGCATGACATAATGTAGACTCTTGTTAAATGAGCCACCCATATAAAGAGGGTTTTCAATCCAAATGGGGTGGGCTTGTTAATCAAGAATCAAGAGTCTACATTTAACCAACAGCGACAGCGAAGTCCTCTTGTGGCATGCACTTCGAGGGAGTCGCATACTCATTCGCTCATGTGTTGAATGTGAAAGATATCTACAAGTAGTCCTCCAACCCATGCTGTTGGGTCCTTGCGCGTGCATGGTATAGGCACCCCTAAAAGATAGAGAACAAACACACACACACACCCATTTGTTCAGAAACCAGCGTTGTGAGCGTGTGTATTTTTTCAGTGGTTCTTACGCCATTTGTTTGGAGGGTCTGTTGAGTATTGAAGCCATCAGCTATTTGATGCCACTCACGGCTCCGCTCCCACATGGTGTCTGCCGAGTGTCTCGGCCAACAATTGCAGCGCCTCCTTCCAATGGCCGGTGCTCGCACCTCTTCACAAAGGCGAACCCGTAAACGGGGGCAATGGGTGGACCGGACCAGACCCGTTTCTTGTAGGAATGGAGCGAGTGTTCCAACACGAAGCGACTCGCAAACCAGGCTGTGGGTCATGGATGGTCATGGCACGATGGTGGCACCAGGATATCCGGATCTCTTGGCACGACTTGCGCAACAACATCTGCTCACCAAACATCCCCTGAGATCGCTTTGTGCTACCCGGTGGATCGCTTTGTTCACCTCCCGTTGGCGGTCGTTCGCTACTTGGAGTTTGGACTGACCCGGGACCCATATCTTGTCGGCCTGCTGTGAGCTAGCTCTGCTGAAGACTGAAGATGGTACACAAGAAAGTGAAACCAGACAACATGTCTTTGATAAGTGGGGTGTACTTGGTGTACTGTATAGTGGTCATCATCTGGCCTCAACACATTTCTAGGTTGCGGATGCTTTCTGACAGTGCGAACCACTTCAAAGGGATTTGGATGACAATCAACTTCAGGGTTTATCTGCGTGTCAGTGTCACAGGTTAGCCTGTGAGTCTGTGAGATTGAATGTTCAATCAAGTTAATATGAGTGCACAAACACCATGCTCGCGGAGACGGTGTTGTAAGATCCATCACACATTGAAACAAACAGAGTCACTGAGGAATTAACAAAATAATGACATTGTGAAGCGAGTTTCACCAATAACGTAATGAATACCTCGGGCTAATCACTCTATTCAGTGTTTACTGAAACCACATGGTCAAGGAACATGGTCTTCTAAACTGGAGGAGCAGGCTACATCAGTCCTCCGAGAGTTTGGCTTTTCGACATCCAAAGTCTCCTAAGACCCCGAATGGAATGGTTCGGGCCGGTCATTGGATCTCTTCAATGTGTTTTGAGAATCAAGATCATGCACTACCTGAGATATTCAAGGATGCCACATATACATTTACTTATCATGACGCCCATTGTCGAAAAGCGTTGCAGCAGTTTCTCCCTCCACAATACATCATCCGAAGTGAAAGCTGCTTTCTGCCTTCAGCATCCTTCTCCCCTGGCAAAACCCATAAGGAAACCTCCGCCCTCACGCGCACGCGCTCTACTACCACATAGATGCCACCAAAAGTTATTCGACAACTATAAAACCAAATGCATCCAAGGCATATATAGCCATCGCCATCGCTGATTTCTTCACGCCGGCAGAGATGGCGCCAAGGGGCAGGCAGAGATGGCGCTCGTGTAGGAGATCACATCCGGAAAGATCTTTGCAGCCCACATTTCCGCGATGAGCTCCACAGCCTGACCACAAGTTCGCGGAGTGGGTGTCTTTGGAACATGGGGTGGGTGTCTTTGGAAACCCACGTATATATAAGGAGCTCCCATGCCAATTTGCTTAGATTTTCCAACTCTGCAACATGTCTGCCTTTGGGCGGGTTTAAATGAAAAAGGCAATCTTGCGTTGGAAGCTCTAGGAATCAAAACACAAATATATGCAAAGCAAACGATCTGTGGCGGCCATTCGCGGGTTTTCACGCTGAACTTGGCCGCGCCTCCTTCCACCGCTTGTTGAGCGATAGTGCCATGATGGCCGCATTGTATGTGATGGTGTCGGGTGGCACCCCATTCCGCTCCATGTCCGAGAGCATCCCCACGGCCTCGCGCCAGAGTCCTGCGGTTCTTGAACAAAGACCCGAGCGGTGCAGGGGCAGCGTTTTCTCGCACGAGCGGTTGCAATGACGACCGTGGTCGGTTTTTAGAGATTTGGCGTGGTGAGTTTGGGAAACATGGAGAGCTACCGGGTTGCCGGAGACATGGCTGAACCAAAACGAGTGGAAGATCTAAAAATATATATATACCGCTGGTACCAGGGCCCCGTAAGGGGTGGTTAATGGACACCCCGAATCACCTCTAAGGAGCCAGAATTATTAGCTCATATTAGACACCCCTAAACGGGGGCCCAGGTACAAACACTTCTGACTACAATGCTTCATCTTTGGGCAGAAGAGTATATACCTGGGAGCTGCATCCACTACAAAAAGCTCTGAATTCTCCAGCCCCATTCTAATAGCTCCCCACTAAAGAAAGGACTACCGTATGGAGCTCTTTTTTGGTTCCCGGATTCCCGGTCGATGCGGCTTCGCCGCGCGTCCGCGGACGGTCTACCGGCAAAGCATGACGGGTGGGCGACAGACGACTCCTTTCGAAGAGGCATTTGGAACAAGGGCATCGCTACTAGTATCAAGGGCATTACTACTAACAGCTAGAAGCTACTAGTAGCAAGGAGCCTTACTAGTGTGGTGAAGGTCTTAAATATGAATAGGAGTCTTTGTGGGAGGTTGCTGCATTGCGGTTTTGGATTGTTGGGTGACGCATGCATCTGACATCAAAGTGGTCCAGCTTTTGAAGCCTCCCTGCGAGCTCCTAATTGACCAAGCGCTTTGATAGCCACGGTGTACTCCTTGGTGGATGGCGACTACCCAGTTTGACTGAGTGATATTTGGATGCGGAACAGAAGTTCAAACTCCAAGGGAGGTTTGAGGGTAGCCCGGTTTTCAGTGGTCGGTGGAATTGGGCCCTCTCAGAGTCAGTACTAGCTTATAAATATCGCATCCATAAGTTGGCAAACATCCAAACCAACTTAAATTCGGGGTCAACCATACGTATTTCTTTGGGATCTCATCCAGAAGAGATCTTCCGTTGGGCACATCTCAAGGTGGGCCTCACATTTAACTACCGTGGCCATTGGGGGCAACAAGCATCCAACCAGTGACGCTCGCTGCTTGCTGGAGTTGACGGTCTTTGTTGCGCAGATACTTGGGAAGCCTAGTGGTGCCCAGCAGCTTCTGACTCAGACCAACTGAACATGCACATCCTGCCAGAAGACTGTAACTAGTTCTGAACTGCAGTATTTATTCTACAGTGGGTTCTGTTGAACGACATCCAAGTGTTAGAGTTTCCAAAAAGTTCATCCCAAGAGCCTGCCATTCAAGCCTTAGAAGCCTAAGCTGCACATGCTGTCGGGTCGCACGTGCCTCCGTGAGCAGCCTGCGTTGCTGCAGCGCAGCCACGGTCTCCGCCCGCTCGCGGCGCCGCGTTTGGGGGTCACGGAGTTTCATCAAGAGGCCTTGGTAGGCTGCAGGGCTCAGGAGGTTTGAGGTGTCCAATTAGTTCTTGGATATTAAAATAAACATGAGTAGATCCCACTTGAAGCCAGTGGATGAGGTTCTTGGGGATCTGAATCGTGAAACATGCATATGCACAGTGTGAGCGAGTCAACGAGTACTGTCAGTGTCAGTAGATTTTTGTTGTAGTGCAACAAGACAAACAAGCCTTTGACTACCACCAAACAACAACATTGATCGCTGGCAAGCATGCGCAGCAAAACCCTGCCCCAGTGCCGCCACTCACCCAAACACATTTCTGCTCCTTGAACCAGATCAAAGCTGTAGAATTTAAAGGATAGAAAAGTGTTCAAACTGCATGAAAGTGTTTGGTGACATGATGTCTCGGGAAACCCTCCCACACATGTCCGAAGATCGTTTCGTTCAGATAGCCTTGATGTGCAGGCACTCGAATCACTCATTTAGATTCAAAGCTCTTATATAATTGTAACAGCCATTTGGGGGGCCTTTGGCGGTGGAGCGGGAACATGAAGGCCCAAACACTTCCAGTCATCACAGGATTTGGCACATTTGTGTCCCACGCCTATCCTGGTGCTTCAGATTTGAACTTGCAAAAAGGCAGGGTTTCATGGATCTTCATCGCACCGATCCAATAGCTATCATAGGTGTTGACCCTTGACCCACATCCGATGAGTCTGGCCCCAGCAGCGGTGCTTGTCATCACCCTCCTCTTTTAGGCGCCAACTGGCCTCACGAAGCTTTGCTGGCCCGGGCTCGCGACGTCGCTCATGGTGTGATGGACGTTGGTTCTACCGCATTTGGTCGCATCATGCCCAATGACGTTTGTTGCCCAGGCCCCCCAGGGCCCGCTGCGGCGATTTAAGGCCCATGGTCACCACGAACAAAAGGCGTGGGCGTCGCCCGTTTCGGCGAGAGCGCCCGAATCTCGGTCTGAAACACTGGACGTTGGCCATGTACTGGAGATGTTCCTAAACTACAAGGAAAATCAACAAAGGCCAACTGGCCGATCAAGCCACTTGATTCATTCAATGCTACATGTCCTGCTATAGTTCTTTGATGGACTCTCAATTCCTCTCCCTGGCCCCCGTCGTGTGTCGTTTGGCTTATCAAGGCTTATTGTTTGAGCGAATCTCCTCAACCAATCTCCACTTGTGAACCGCTGAAATCAATGGCCTTGGACTTCAAGGTCCGAAAATTGTCCTTGGCTGGAGCTGCAGTCAACTCATTAGACTCATCGACCTGACAAAAATACTCCTCAAAACTCAGGCCCCGAACACTGTTCTTGGGCCCATGATGGTCCATGCCTTTTTGATTCACCACTTGTTGTTTTGTGAGGCAGTCGTGTCTTGATGGGTGTGGAGACGCCAGACCTTCACATCGATCTAGATTCTAGATTGCATGATTGCTTGTTACCTCTTGCTTGTTTCCCCCTCTGCAGCTCTGAGTTTCCCCTACTTTAGATGAATTGCACTGGAGTGCCCGCAGGTTGCATGTCAGCATGGATGAAAGGCGAGGGATTGGGGGCCCTCTTTCCGCTCATTGATGCCGCCCAAGGCGATGGTGTCAACGAATCTAGGGAAAGATCCCCATCTTCCCAACACTTCTTTGAAATCTCGCGTTTGCCTTGTTATGGTCTCGATCCGATCCATATCACAATTTGACTGCCAGTCCCTTAAGAACCACATAAGACGACCTTAAACGTGTGCACTCCGCTTCTACAATTCTATATACATAGTGAAAAAAGAACTGATCAAAAACACAAAAACATATTGTTCTTTGACTGATTGATTTCCTGTTCCTGTGATGCAATTTCAATCAAGTTAAAATAGACAAAGCAGGATCCTTCTCAAAACATTCACTTCAGCCCCAAGCTTCACCACTCCGCCGCATGAGCCCACCGGGGGCTTGTCGCTCCACTGCGAAGGCCAAAGACAGGCTGCTACAGAGGAACGCCAGCGCCCATCCCAACAACCTCAGCAGGATCCCACTTCGTGGGCCGATGGGTCACAGCTTTTCAATGGGTTTTCAGTGGGATACACATCAATTGTTCCATGGTGTTCCTCATCACCACCTCCACATTGCCCCAACCATACCAGGGCACCACCAAGCGCGGACACCCCGGTCTGGCGCCATGGCTGGTCGTAGAACCCTCTGGCTAGAAAAAAGCTACAAAGGGCTGATTCGCGTAGTCGTAGAGAGAAAGGGAAGAAACATGTGCTGGCTTTTGGCTACCTCAGCAGTTGGGTCACGGGATCGGGGCTCAGGAAAGTTGTGGCTGCGGCTCCCACCATTTTTGTTGCTTTGGGCTTTTTTAGTTGAAAGGACACATGGGTCAAACATGTTGTTGTGTGTTACAGTGTGACATGAATTTGTCCAGCATCTTTCGTCCGAAACTCTTGCAGCCGCCGAACTCAGAGATGCTGATCGTTCGCACTCCCATAATATAGCACTTGAACCATTACTGTCATGTCGTAGATCTACAAATTGTGGGCTGACCCATCCTGTTTTGGTCAGCTCCGACACTGTGCATCAGCGGGTCTTCCCGCGGCGGGCAGACCGCGGCGCGGGTCTTCCCGCGACTGGAAGGCTGAAGCCGTGGCCGGCGGGTGGGAACCGGCCAGGACAGCCAAATCAAAACAACTGGATGGAAGAAACTCTCTACGGCCGCAAACCATGAATGCTGAGAGACTGGTGACCTGTCCACACTTGAGACATCCCATGGCAATTTGCCACGTGTGAGATACGTATCCCATTCACCCAAACAGTGTTTTACTGCTCAGGAAGACTTTGGATGACTTTGGTGCGTTGTGAGGCAAATCCTACAAGGCCAAGAAACCAAAGAAATATCAGATTGGGCCATGCAAGTCCATCTGTTGTGCCTCACATGGGCAGTCTCTACAGCGAATTGGCCACCAGGTTTGTCATATATGTTGGGCCACCAAGCTCTTCCTTTCACGGGAAACAGAACCAACAACACCCGTACAAAGGTTTAGTAGCCAACATCTGAAGAGAAAAACAAGCAGGCGGAGGGTTCGACTCTGCCCCCAAAATGATGTCAAACTTAAACAAACAGTAATGGATCCCCACCACACGCTTGAACTTACACGGTGAACTTCCCCAGCAACTCTTTCGGGCAACCGTGGGCAAATCGGTGAACTCCCCAGCAGCTCGCTGCACCGCCGCCTTTGGCTCTCGAGCTGCGTCGCCGCCTTTGCAAAGCCGTACGCTCTCAGCTTCCGAAGCACCAGTTCCTCGGTGGCGGCCTGGTCGTGGGGGGCCGCGGCCATGGGGCGCTTCCCCACCCCCCACCCGGTCACGGCGCGGTCTTTCGCCCGGTCATCATTTCCAAGTGATCCACGACAGTCTTGAGTATTCCAAGGTGGCATAGCATGGATGCCATCAAGAGTGGAACTTGACATGTTGTTGATGGAGAAACGACTGATTTGAGAAGTTCAGTCTCGATGTCAGGCCTGAGGGGCAGAAACTCAGGCGGGCACCCCAGTGTTCAAGTCAAAACCTATGGCTTTCATGCCTTGAAGCAACCAAATGATGGTCTGTAGCAAACAGTGTTTGTGTCCCAAATCACATCCCTCTTGCCTTAGATGTTCTGCCCTTGCCTCTGCATTCTGTTTTGTCTATCTTTTGCTCTTGATGAGTCTCTACAGCCTCCAGGCATCCAATCATCTTCCAACAACTAGAACCTTTAGTCAAGACCCTGTGAGCCAAGTCCTACTCCGGGCCTCCAATCTCCTACACCCACGTCCTTCCTCGTCCTCCTTCCTCGCCAGTCGCCGGTCGCGGTCCGCACCTGCCGGAGCTCCTCGAAGTCCCCGGTGTGGCGACAGAGACCCAGGTGCTCCACCGCGGCCACCAGGCGCGGCAGCAGCGCACGGCTGCTGTCGTCGTGCGTCATCTCGGTCATGTTCGGTGGCCTGGAGGTGGGCGGAACCTGTTCAGTGACTCATAAACATGTACCAAATTTGACTTGGGTTTTGGAGAACCCTGAGAACCCTTGCAATAGCTTCTCGCCGGGCTCAAATCCACTTACTTCCCAGAAGCGACAAAAGGAAAAACCATGACGCAAAGCCACGCTCTGCTCACTCTGCTCTTGCTAAACTCAGGGTGTTACCTCAACCTGCACATGTTGTTTGAGGCCAAACTGCATGTTTGGAGGCTAAGCTAGAGATAGAATCCAAGACAAATTTGCTCCCAACTTGGGAGCTCCACGGCTTCAGCGCTTCCTCTTAATACGCCTACATATCTTGTTTCCTCCCTTCTTCCCTCCATCCTTCCCTCTTCTGCCGCCTTTTCTCCAGCTGCTTCACTGCCGCTTCCATCGACTTCGACTCCGGCGCCAGCGCCGACACCGCCGCCAGCAGCAATGGTCGGTGGCCGACGCCGGCGACCAGCGCAGCTGCAGAGGAGCCGAAGTGAGAGCTCAGAAGGTGGTATCCTTCCAGCAACCAGGAGTTTTGAAGTGAAAAATGTCTCAAAAGCCGTGGTATCACTTCACTTCAAAAAAAAGTAAAAAACAATCAGTGAAGTGACATGTTTATAAATTATAAGAATTTGTTTCGAGCTCACTTTCAGGGTCGCTGGCTGCTCACTTTCACTCGGTAACCCCAAGAAACTCCTCTCCTGCTCGGAAGTTGGGCTTGTCAAAAGGAACCCAGGGAAAACCCTAAAGGACGACCTTCTCATGCTCGCAGTTGCAAGATCTACCGATCAGATCTATCAGATCAGACCTGTCATACGCTACGCAAAGCTCCTAATAAAAAGACCCACACAAAACATGCCAAAACCATCCCAAACCCGCCCCTGGTCGCCTCTGGAGGAATCCAATCCAGGAACATCAGGAGTTTTACTGAGTTTCGCCCACTAGATTACCAGTGCCCACTAGTCATCCAAAGTAATCAGTTTGCCCATCTATAAACATAGCTTCTCTCATCAGCACGAGCCGAGGTTCTCTCATCCTCTGTCGCGAGGTGCAAAGGTTCCAAGCCCAACGCACTGCTGGTGGGATCCAAAGCGATTTCTCGTGTATGTCCCTCACTGGGCAGCTTGCCCAAAAGCCACCTGAACAGCAAGAGAGGACGGGCCACTTGTACCAAACCCCCGAAAACTAACGTGCATCCTTGACCCGGAATTTCTTAAGACAATACTCCTTACACTTACACTATCTTGTGATGTCTTGTGAACCTATAGAGGAGGGTTGGCGGTTGGTCAGATTTTGCAGGGATGAACATATGCATCGAAGTCCAATAAAAAACACCCACATCTCACACCCATGTCCGATAGGTGGGGAACATGGTTGATTGGCCAGGTCAGGTCCCTTCCCTTTCACCGTGCCAGTCTGGACACCACATGTCACCACCCAGGACGGAGATCAGTTTCGTTTCAGGTCGTTTCTGGACCGACTACCTTGGTAGCGCCTTTGTTCATCAGCCTGTGGGGATAGGTCAGTGTCGACTTGTGATCTTCACATTCGACAACGCCACACCAGATGTGCCTCTGTGTAACACCCAAAGAGGTGAAGGAAGGGACTGGTATAAGCCGCTTGTCCTGGGTTCTGACCGAACGTGGAGCATGTATGTCGGATTGGTGGCGACATGCAACTCCGCTTGCACAGCTCCAGCAGAGCCTCTTTGGGCATAAACAAATGGTGGAACCAATTAAGACAGGTCAGGCCCCAAAGGTGCACAGCCATTGGATGAGAGACTTTGGTAAGGAGAGACTGAAGTGGAGATACCTTCTGAAGGAAACATGGAGAGCCTACTTGGAGGATACTTTGGATGCACTGCCTGACCGTTGGTCGCCTGCACCTCTCGACTAAAACATGTAGTCCTTGCTGTGTGTGATGCAAATACCTCACCTGCTGTCATGATTGATCAGAAGAAAACACTCACAAAGACGAAGACCAACCTGACTCTTTACAAACCATCAACACTCAAACCGGCGTGTGCCTCAAACATTTTAGACATGTTGCGACAAACCAAAGCTTAGATTGAGACATGTCTTGTCTTTTGATGTGGGGAGGCGTGTCTTTGAGAACTGAAAGGACCTGATCCCCAGTGTAGCAAACCCTGTCTTGAAATCCTTGGCAACCTGGGTCCGATTGTTTCTTGGATTTGCATTCCAGCATTCAGTTTTATGTGTTGTTTGTTCTAATTTGTGGGTGACAAACTCGAAAGTACTATAGAAGTACTATATTACAATGGGTGAGTGCACACAACTGAAGGTACAGCCAATCACTCAAGTTCCCACTCAAGTTTCCTTTGCTGAGACACTTCAGTGAGTTTCAATGGACTAGCATGCGCCAAATCCTATCCCAACCCTACGATCCGTGTCTTTTGCTGATTTGGCCACGTCATTTGTCCCAACCTTCCGGTCCAAATGGGCAATCTACTTATTTCTTCCTCCTTGTCCGGGCTGTCTGTCTTATCAAAAACATCAAGACTTCCCTGTGCAAATCTTCCAAATTGTCATCTACGTACTCTCACAAGCGTAATAAGGGCACCGAAATGGAGGTTGGCCCTCACCCCCCCTGAGAAGTAAACAGGTCAATCCTGAAACCACACCAACTCAGTGGTCCATGAATCACCCTGCCAGTGCCATGGCCAAGCTACTTTTCCCGCCAGCAAGGCCAACATCTCCCCGGATGGCGCGCCCATCTTTGGGGCGTCTTCCACGGATGGCCCCTCGACCCGGAGCGGGGAGAAGAACACGCCCTCCGCGAGGCCCAAGTCCTGCAGCTCCTGCGGAGCCGCCGAGCCGCCGAGGTGGAATCCCGTAAGAGAAGACGGCCAATGGGCAACAGTTGCCACTCAATAAAATCATCCATCAGCGTTTTTCCTATGCTTTGCTTTGGCCCACAAATCCTGATGAGCTGGGGGATGTCAGGTCCCAGGTGTCAGGAGGTGTGGTCAAACAAGAACCGCTTTGGATTGAAACTGTTCGTGTCAGTTTTCTGGATCTTCAAGTCACGGGGTTTGGGTTTGGTTTGCGCCCTAAACCCTGCTTCCTACATCCTTGCTCATCGGTTCTTCTGAAGATGTCTCCTACATCAGCTCTGAAACAAATGTTCAACACCTGCCTCTTTTGGTGGAAATGATGAAGCACACAGGAGAAAACACCTGCACGATCATCCTCATCAACCGACAGAAAAAGTAAAACAGTGCGCTTTCATAAGTTTTGCATATGGACTTGAGGCCAGAGGGGGTGAACGAAAGCTAGCCGGGCTTCCGGTGGTCTGCTGCTGGTGCTGCTGCTGCTGGTGCTGCTGCGCTGGGTGCTCTGCAGGCGCCGGGTCGTCTGCTGCTGCTGCTGGCGCTGGGTGGTCTGCTGCGGCTGCTGCTGCCGCGGCGTTGGGTATGCTGCTGCTGCTGCTGCCGCTGCTGCGCTGGGCGCTGCAGATGCTTGGTGTGCTGCAGCTGCTTGGTGGTCCCGCTCACCGCGCGCAGGGGGGAGTCGAACCGCGGGGGGGGGGGGGTCCATAAGATTGATTTAATCAATTATTTGAGGTTTCTGAGATGCGTCCACCCCGTCACTTAACTTGCTAAAGCAAGAGCAACTCCAGCTAGCTAAGGCTAGCTTTCGTGATTACGTGTGCGGTCAATCTCCGACCGTTTTAGGCGCCACGTTGTTGGATGAGCAGTATTGACATCGAAGCTTTTGATCAGCAGGGGGGTCGCAAACATCAACTACCTTGGATATCAAGAGATTCCATCCAACTTTAATACCCTACTAAACAACCCGAATATAAACATATATAAACTATATTACAGTATATATTTTGCTGTATATATTTTTGAATTGGATTTCAGTCCCAGAAATAGACCCCTGCTCATCTATCCCTGCCGGGAAAACAATGGAAAACCATGATTTGTTCCATCTCTTCATGGCTGTAGGATCTGTAGATTGATCGAGCGATATGAACTCCCCCAGTTGCGCACGGGTTGGGGCGGTGTGGGCTCCTCACCCTCATGCTGCAGTCGCAGCCCGGAAGCTCTCGCTGAGGTCAGTAGGAGCCAGCAGGCACCTTGGAGCCAGCAGGCGCTGTGCATTAGGGAACGCCCTTCTTCATCAATTGGTTCTTCGTATCAATCAACGGTTTTCTCTATTGAGCCTTTGTAATTCTTCTGGACCTTTACCATGGGTCCGTGGGGTTATGAAACACAGGGCACATCTACGACAAAAAGGACCTTGTTTTTCTTGACACAGGAGCAAGTTTACATGGATGTCTGTCTTCAAGGGCATGAGCAGGCCAAGACTGGCTACTCAGCCATGAAGAGTAGTATGTCAACGGTGTGGTTCTTTTCTGTCCTGATTGCCTAATCTCATCGATCAGGTCCTCTTTTCTCCACGTTCTTCAGAGTGTAAACAAGCATATAAAAAAAAATAAAAAAAAGATGGAGCCCACGAACCCGAATGCAAACACGTTCAAAAAGCTACATATGTCCAAATGACACTCTTGTAGGACACTCTTGTGGGACACTCTTGTGGGTCACTCTTGTAGGAAACT